TCCCGACCCACAGGTTGAGAACCGCTGTTCTACAGGGAAATCGAATCACCCATGTGCTCACTTTAAGGCAGCATAGCTGTTAGGGGACAATCTGTGGGAATGATATTTAAAGCAGGATGATGTACTTGGACTTTACCTCTAACTTACCAAAGTGGTGGCTTTCCTATGGTGGAATACTCGTGTTCCAGATTCCCTCTGTTATAAGTTAGGGAATACAGTCCCAGTCACATTTCCCTCAGTGTTAGTTCCCACACACAGTGAACTCTCTATGGGACTAGAACGTTGCCTTGTTCTCTGAGGAGGAGCTAGTGATTTTGAACTGCTGACCTTGCAGTTAGCGGCTCAGTGCATAACCCACTATGCTACCAAGGCTCCTTGTTATAATTAGAACATAGCTTTCTGAAAGCTGTTTGGCAATATTCTTAAGCCTTTGAATGTTTGTACTCTTTGACCTTGAAATTCTCTGCCTTAGGAATGAGTTGGAGAATGTTTAATTACTGAGATGAGTGTGCAAAGGAGTTAATCACAATTCTATTTGACAGTAAGATCAAGTATTGGAAACAACCTAAGAACATGAGAAGACTTATGTAAGTTATGAAGGTCCTGTTTCCAATGAGTTCGTCAGATCTTATCAGAAGCCTGCTTCTAGAAAACAAGAACTCAAATAGAAATGGTCGGGGCAATTCGCTAGTGACTAGGATTTGACGTGTTTATTTTCTTTCATTGTAGTGATGTTATTTTTAAGTTCAACCTGAAATCTATGGCATATAACTTTTTTAATAGGCAAAAAATCTAATAAAACATGTTTTATAAGAAATTAAACAAACATAGAGATGTCATATGGAATTTTTTTGGTTTGGGAGAGGGCCAAGAATGGGACAATTAAGCACAAAGATAGAATAAATGATGGCAGCTCAAGAACAAAAGAATGAAAAAGGCCAGCAAGGACTCACTGTCATTCCGGAGTTGGCTGGTTTGCCCCAGGGCTTCTTTGGGAGGACAGGGTACTGAGAGACTTTCCCCACAGGCCAGTTCATCCGCCCTGGGATGGCACAAGTGGTTAAGCAGCCAATGACTGGTTGAAAGGTTGGCAGTTCAGCTGCCCCCAGTGGTCCCTCGGGACGTACTGCTGAGCAGTCACAGCCTCAAAGGAGCGGATCTACTCTGTACGCGAGGCTGCAGTCACAGCCTCGAAGGAGCGGATCTACTCTGTACGCGAGGCTGCAGTCACAGCCTCGAAGGA